TTCTTGATGCTTTGTCTTCACGTCATCTGTTGACCACGTGTTTCCTCCAGCCCGCAGCGGCTACAGCGAATAAGGCGCGATGTGGTAGATGATAGCTGGTCATACGCAACACGTGCCCTAGCCAGCGGAAACTGCTAATCTGAATTCGATGTGCTAGCAGGTTTATTCCCGATAGACTCCCAAACACACGATAGCTTACCTCTAGGTTACTAACCCGTTCGCTCCATCCCACGAGGGCTAAACTACGTAAACACCGATAATCGAAAATCGGTGGATATCCACTGGCAAATTCAATGTCTCAAACAAAGCAGAACTGAACGAAAACGCAATATGCACAACCTTTCAACTTCAGTGAAACGTCGCGTCTACGCCGAAAATGTTTCAGTTCTCCTTATGCTGCTCAAGCCTTGGAAGTGTGAGCGGCTATCTCCTTTGCTGCGGTTCCGTCATTGGTCACGCAACTACCTAAGTACGAAAAGTGATCCACTATAATTAATTTCTAACCACTTAATTACAAAGCGGGAGTAGGCGACATTCAGTCCTGCAGCATTACTTCGAAGGTACAGAGCACACACCGAATATGGCAGTAGCACTTGTTAGTCTATCAAGTGCGTTTTGCGCGTCCTCCGTACATTCAAACGGATAGACAATGTCATCGGCGTACTCCAAATCGCACAGCCTTTCTCCAGCTGTTCATTCAATACCTACGTTTTGGAGATCACTTATTGCGTTCTTCAGTGTTTCTTCTACGATGAAATTGAACAGGAACGGTGAAGGAGAGCACCGTTGATGAACAACCTACTTAGTTCGTTGTAAATCCTCACCCCATCAGAGGTGTGAGTGCCGTGACCTCAGTAAGTTAATGTACTTTTCAAAGAATGAAACCCATCGGAGTATCGCGGTCAACTGAGTCGAAGGCTCTTTTCAAGTCAAGAAACACTACGATCGTTGGGCGACGGTAGGTGTGACGCAACGTAAAAATTCCATCAAAACATACACGGCCCGACCGGAATCAGATTTGCTGTTCACGGATGGTGGTCTCTTATAGAAGTCAGACGTCGATCTATGAAGGAGGCTAGCACTTTGGTGACGATCGGGATCAAACTGATCCCGCGGTGATTTGCGCAATCGTTGCGAGATCCTTTCTTGAAAATGGGAACGATCAGTGATTCGCCCCAAGATGAAAGAATGCGCTCTTGCGTCCAAATGTTGCGCAGTACGGTAGTAATGGAGCTTACGAGGTTATCACCCCCTCTTTAAGAGAGTGGTAGGGAGCTCATCCGGTTCTGCTGCCTTTCATCGCTTCGGAGCTTGAATGCAAGACCAAACTTCTACTTCTGCTGGAGAATTGCATCACTGCCCACAGAGCTTCAGTTACAGATGAAGTAACCTGGCTAGCGGCAGGCCAGCTGAACTGTTCGCTGAAGTATTCCGCCCAGCGATCAAGTCGTTGATCCCTATTGTAAATAGATTGTTCCATCTGATGACAGACTGTTTCAAATTTTTATTTCAACGGTAATCAATTTCAGATGGCCTAGAGTTCGCCGACCTCCTCTATTACGTATCAGTCGGAACAGTCTTTGATTCCCTGATGCAGCCGCTACTCCCATTTCACCAGCTAATGTTGTTCATCAGTTTTCACGATCCTTCTTGAGGCTCTTCTTCAACCGACGTGGCAGACGGTGCCTAATCCTGTTCTGATCCTTGCAGGTCGGGATTGGTCGTTTTTTCTCCATCAGGACTACTGACTCATCAGATACCCCATTCCTCCGTCGGGCTTGAGGCTCAGACCCATAAGCAGCATTCGCTGCGAAATGCATTGTTCGTCTAATCTGATCCCACTGCTCACCTACATCATCACTTTGATGCTCGCTTAGCTCACGCACTAGCTGTGACTCAAAGCGTGCACGAACTGTAGGAATAGACAGTCGGTGATCAGCTATCCGAGTTTGCTGGTTTTGTCGCCGGCCAGTGATTCGGAGAGTGAACTGAATCAAGACTAATGCGTAGTCTAACTCAACGCAGGTGATCCAATAGAACCTGCAATTTGCACTGAGCCACACCGACGGTAGCTTACTGTTATGTGTGATCGATTTGAGTTAGCGTACCAGTTGAACTGGAGCGCCATGCCGTCCATCGAGAGCTGTGTTGGAAGTTGATGCTGGTTAGGAACAGATAATGGTCTGCGCAGAACTGAAGAAGTCGATCGCCGTTATCTGTTCACTGGCAGGACAGTATAAATACCACCTGGGCAAGCTTCTGATACGTTCAGTTTTCCAACTTGCGCGCTAAAGTCACCTGCAAGTACAACTATGTCGGAGCTTCGACTCATGAGATCGGTGGGTTTATCGTAGAAAACGTCTTTTTGTGTATGAGAACCGCCATAGGTCTGTGCATATGCCAATGTGATAAACAAACACCTTTTGGTGTTGCTTCCCTTCTTGACGCTGATTGGACCTCGGAAACGAATTGCTGACGGGGATCCAAACGATAAACGAGGACTCAGACCTGTTACTGCGTACAATACCTACCCCGCGCCGACCTACTGCACGGGCTTTAATGTCGCTTGATGCACGAAGAACGTATCTCGAGGCCACCCTGGCGTGCTCAAGTAGCTTATATTAGTAGGATCCTGAATTCGAGTCTCCGACAGGCAACAAATATCGATCCCTAAGGATTCCATTGTATGCGCCAGACAAGTTTGTTGACCTACTTGCATCAGAGTCTTCATGTTGAAGGCCCCCAGATTAAGTAATTGACGGGGCTTTTGAATCTGAAATCCATCTCGTGGTACCAACACTGTTATTTGGCAACGACTTGGGCGATCGACATCCAACTTGCTTGATTATTACAGGTCTGTAGAAGCGGCGAACGGAGGGGGCTGGTCGCTGAAGACAGAATTAAGCCAAGGTTGGGATATCTAAGCAGTAGCCCACCTATCGCTTCCCACCCCGCTCGATGCAATGGGCAGCGCGGTCCTGATTATCCCGCACGACGAGCCCTGTAGTATGGAATTATTTTTAGTTTGTGCATGCATTGGGATTTGATGAACGGGTACTGCTAGGGTGTCCAGCCAATAAGCAGGGGAACGATTAGGGTTATCGTCCAAAGCCTTTAGTTCTAACAAGAACGTAACCGCAAGTTAGCGCGTGAAACAGAGTAGAGGCTCATTTGTTTGGATCGATTACTCCACCATTTTTTACCGACCGAAACGCCAATGTAATCGAACCCCCAACCTGGAGGACCAGGAAACTGGGCTTCGTCCGACCTCTACCCATCGACCTTGCAGGCATGATAAGGTCTCCTGTGTAGCTCGTTGGATCAGGGAGGTGCACAAGCCATCGCACCACGTAAAGGTGCAGTCTCGTCGTTATGATTAGACACGTGCTACCGTACGGCGCTGCAGCTTGACGGAAGCAGGATATACATAGATTCAATATTCCAATCCCACTGTCAACACCGCATAACACGATTTTTATGAGACAATCAGACAAACACTGATGAGGTTAATCGTAAGGTTTTAGGGAATCGTGGTTGCTCACGAGGGCAGATGCTCGACCTCCGTAGATTACGTTTACCGGGGCGTACATTATACTTGACATGCGATGTTTGTCGAGACAGGATGGTCAAATCGAAACCTGGCATAAGGTTATGAAAACCTTGGCTTGGGAAATTTGACTCCCTTGTCGTGCACATTGAAATCAGCGTAATCGGTGGCTCAGGCCATTGAGCGAAGTGGCTAATTTCCGTAAACAATACTGTCCGCTCATCTCTTTTTTCAATCTTTAACTTGTTGTTGCTTCCAGATTTTTAGTTCTTCCCTCTACTTCATCCAGAAACCAGAACTGCCGCATGAAAATGCAAGGTTAATGATTGTGTATACTTTATTCAGGAAACAGTTACGAATATGTCATAGCTTACGGTAAAAGTAGTAATATCATAACACTAGTACGGTTTGCCTGTCCTATGGAACAAATATCGTTTTCACCTTTGGGTTGTTCCTGGCCTAGTTACAGATTAATAAGACGGCTTTTGATAATAAACTTATTCCTTCAATCACGATCCAGGTTTGCTACGCGCGAAAGGTTTCCTAAGGGTACGCGTTTTGGCTCAAACAGAAGTGAACGTTGACCATTGTGAGCTGGACTTGGTCTCCTTAACCCATGTAACTTAGAGAGATCTACACTTCTGAGTGTTGTGTTATGGTGCTCCTGTAGATGCCCCATTATCCACCTGGATTTACATTTGAATATACTTTCGGAATGTCCATTCTTTCTACTTGTTCCTCGAACATTTGTGTTACTAAAGTGTGGGTTCTTCCCTTTTATTCCTCACTGTACGAAAGTATAAGTTGGTGTCATTTTCGTTGTTGTGTTTCCACCTGTTTTTATTTCTTTTTTCGTTCAGGAAAGCTCTGGAGATTGATCCAGAATGCACTGAGGCAAGAGAAGGACTACTTCAAACATTTTCCGCAGACGATGATCCCGAAGCAGCTCGCAAGCAGGCGATGAACGATCCCGAAGTTGCTGCCATTCTCTCAGACCCTGCTATGCGTCTAATCCTCAACCAAATGGAGAATCCTACCGCGTTACGCGAACACCTGAACAACCCAGAGATCGCTTCTAAGCTCATGAAGTTGATTGATGCAGGTCTGATATCCTTCCGGTGATCTGATCTACTGGACCAGATCTTTTTGAGCGCGGCGGTGGTGACGGCCATCTTGCATTCACTGCTCGATCCTCGCCCCCTTTTCCCTTTGTCCGAAAGGCATCGATACTCCATGTGCTGCCCCCACTACTTCGCGCATTGATCACTATCGAAAACCGCTTTTTCCTACGACCAAATTGACGTCATTTTTCTACTTTGGCACNTTAGGTCACCATTCGGTTTTCGATTCAGTTTGTTTATGTGATGCATGGCCGTTGTCTGTTCTCTGGTCAAATTTACTGCTGCATCGATATACACTTGATTGGACGTGTCCGGTGTTTTTACCATGTTCATCCAGGTTTTACTTGCTGCCCGGGCTTGCCAGATGCTAAAACCTTTTAACCGTTACGGAACAACCATTATATATATATATATATATATATATATATATATATATATATATATATATATATATATATATATATATAT